GATCTCTCTCTCTCTCACACACACACAGTCTGAGATCTCTCTCTCTCACACACACAGTCTGAGATCTCTCTCTCTCACACACACAGTCTGAGATCCCGCTCTCTCTCTCACACACACACACACAGTCTAAGATCTCTCTCTCACACACACACACACAGTCTGAGATCTCTCTTTCACACACACACACAGTCTGAGATCTCTCTCTCTCTCACACACACACACACACACACACAGTCTGAGATCTCTCTCTCTCACACACACACTCACTCACTCACACAGACTTAGGAGAGAGAGAGTCTGAACCCTTTCTGTCTCACACACACAGTCAGGAGAGAATCTGGGCTCTCTTTCTCTCTCACACACACACATTCCCCCTCTCTCACACACATATTCCCCCTCTCTCACACACACATTCTCCCTCTCTCACACACACACACTCCCTCTCTCCCTCTCTCTCACACACACACACACTCCCTCTCTCTCACACACACACACACTCCTTCTTTCTCTCTCACACACACACTCCCTCTCTCTCACACACACATATACTCCCTCTCTCTCTCACACACACAAACACTCCCTCTCTCTCACACACACAAACACTCCCTCTCTCTCACACACACTCTCCCTCTCTCTCTCACACACACACACTCCCTCTCTCACACACACACTCCCTCTCTCTCACACACACACACACACCCTCTCTCTCTCACACACACACACACACCCTCCCCCACACACACACCCTCCCTCTGTCTCTCACACACACACACACACACCCTCTCTCAGTCACACACACACACACACACACACACAGGGGCAGGAGTGCAGCAGGGAGGTGGTTGCATATGGTGTGGGCTGAACATTTTCCTGAGTTTTTCTTCCTGTTGCATTTATCAACATCTCTGCCTCTGACATTTTTAGCTGATTTTATTTGCTCGCTCTGATTGATCACAGAATCCTCTCCCAGTAAAATTGAGAATACGGAAACAGGCCGAGATCATTCCGCCTGTTTATCCTGTCCCACTGATCAGATTATGCTTGGTCTCCAGTTTAACTCCCAGTTTTTTGCATTGGTCTCATCACACTGAGCTGTGGGGAGGGCAGTCTTGAACTTCAAGAGTAAAATAAAACAAAGAAGTGCAGGTGCTGGAGATTTAAAACCAAAACAGAAATCGTTGGAGAAAATCAGCAAGTCTGGCAGCGGCTGTTGAGAGAAAACAGTTAACATCATCAGAGTCACTTTTTTTAAACATCAAGAGGACATGGACAGGTTGGAGGAAAGGGCTAACAAATGGCGGATGAAATTGTAATGCAAACAAGCATGAAGTGATTTATTTTGGTACACAGAATATGGAGAGAAAATACAAAATAAAGGGCACAATTTTACAGGGGATGGAGGAGCAGTGGGACCTGGATGTATACATGCACAGATCATTGGCTGTGTCAGGACAGGTTGAGAGCACAGTAAACAAAGCGGACAGTAATCTGGTCTTTGTTGTGAGGGGCATGGAGTATAAAAGTAAGGAAGTGATGTTAAATCTGTAATGAATACTGATTCAACTTCAGCTCCACCATTGTATTCAGTTCTGGGCATCACACTGAAGGAAGGACATCACCACATTGGAGAGGGCACAGAAAAGAACTTCAGTGATCTGGAATAATTGGAAAAGCTGGGATAGTTTACACTGGAGAAGATTGAGAGGCAGTGAAAGTCCTGAGGGATCTGGGCAGGGTAAATGTAGAGAAACTGTTCCCATTGGTCAAAGGATCAAGATCAAGAGGGCAGAGATTTAAATGATTCACAAAAGAAGGAATTGTGACATTTTTTATTCACTCATGAAATGTGGGTATTGCTGGTTGGGCCGAGCATTTCTTGTCCATCCCATGTTGCCCCTTGAGAAGGTGGGGGTGAGCTGCCTTCTTGAACCGCTGCAGTCCATGTGCTGTAGGTTGACCCACAATGCCCTGAGGGAGGGAGTTCCAGGATTCTGACTCAGCAACACCGAAGGAATGACAATATATTTAAAAGTCAGGATGGTGAGTGGCTTGGAGGGGAACTTGGAGGTGGTAGTGTTCCCATGTATCTGCTGTCCTTGTCCTTCTAGATGGAAGTGGTCATGGGTTTGGAAGGTGCTGTCTAATGATCCTTGGTGAATCTCTGCAGTGTCTCTTGTAGATAGTACATACTGCTGCTACTGAGCATCGGTGACAGAGAGAGTGGATTTTTGTGGATGTGGTGCCAATCAAGTGGGCTTTGTCCTGATGGTGTCAAGATTTTTAAGTGTTGTTAAAACCGCACCCATCCAGGCAAGTGGGGAGTATTCCATCACATTCCTGACTTGTGCCTTGCAAATGATGGCTTTGGAGAGTCAGGAGGTGAGTTACTTACCACTGTATTCCTAGTCTCTGACTTGCTGTTGTAGCCGCTGGATTTATATGGCTAGTCCAGTTCAGTTTTTGGTCAAAGCTCACTCCTGAGTACCTTGATGGTGGGGAATTCAATGATGGTAATGCCATTGAATGCTAGGTGGTAATGGTTAGATTTCCTGTTGTTGGAGACTGCCTTGTATTTGGCCCAAATGTTATCTACCATATGCCACACAAGTGCCACACTCAGTTGAATGTGGACCTGATGTCAAGGGTAGTCACGCTCACCACACGCTTGGAATTCAGGTCTTTGTCCCTATTTGGATGAAAGCTGTACTGAGAGAGGGAACTGTGTGAGCGGCACAACCCAAACTGACCATCAGTGAGCAGGCTCTTGCTAAGCACCATCAACTTTCAAAAGGACAAAAGAGAAGTATGGATCAGGAACAGGCCTTTTGGCCCTCTAGGCCTGTGCTGATCATCATGCCCTGACTAAACTAATGAACAAACATTCTGCCCTTATTCGGTCCATATCCCTCTATTCCCTCCCTATTCATGTAGCCATCCAGATGCCTCTTAAATGTCGCCAACGTGCCTGCTTCCACCACCTCCTCTGGCAGTGCATTCCAGGCTCCTACCACTGTCCGCATGCAAAACTTCCCTCGCACATCTCCCTTAAATTTTCCCCCTCTCACCTTGAACCTGCACCCCCTTGTAATTGAAACTTCAACCCTGGGAAAAGGCCTCTGACTACCCAAGCTATATATGCCTCTCATAATTTTGTAGACCTCTATCAGGTCTCCTTTCAGCTGCCGTCGTTCCAGTGAAAACAATCCTCGTCTTTTTAACCTTTCCTCATAGCCAATACCCTTGAGACCAGCCATAGTTCATCTGTCTTACCTGTTATACTTCTTGCATTGAAGTAAATACACTCCAGACCTCCAGTCCCTCTGAGCCCTGTGACATCCCCCCGCTCGCTCTTACTCTGTGCGATGCATATCTCAGTCTCTCTTTCGTCCCGAGTCCCTGCACTTACTGTTCTGGTCCCCCCCGCAACCGCCCCCGCCACACTGGCTTAAACCCCCCCGAAGATCTGTAGCAAACCTCCCGCCCAGGATATTGGTGCCCCTCCAGTTCAGGTGTAACCCGTCCCTTCTTTCATTTCGCTGCTGCTCAATGGCAGAGGAGTAATTTTCCAGGTTGAACTTGTCCTGGTTTCTGTAGTCATCAGGAAACACATTTCTGTACAGCGAGTGGCTTGGGTGGGGAATGCACTGTCTGAGTATGTGATGGAGGTAGCTTCAATTGAGGTATTCCCAAGTGAATTAGAAAGTTATTTGAAGAGGGCTACAGGGAGATGATGGTAAATGGCACTGCTCCTTGTGAGGGTTTGCACAAATTTGATGACCAAATGGCCTCCTTATGTACTGTAACCACTTTGTGATTCACTCCTGACAAAATCAACAAACCTCAGTATCGAAGAGAGTTCCAGATTTCCACTCCTTCTGTATGAGGAAGTGCTTCCTGACATCACCCCTGAACAGTCTGGCTCAAATTAAAAGGTGATTTCCTTTTGCTCTGGCCATTTCCCAACTACATCCCCACCCATCTCTATATAATGACCCAGTCATTATGCTCTTCAATCCTGGTTAAGTCTCCCCTCGACACAGTGCCAGTTCTCAAATTCTGCTCCTTGGACCACAGCTCCCTTCTGTTATTCATTTCCCATCTGCTCTATTGCAGACAGCTGCATCTCTCAGGCTCTCATTTCTGTGCTCGGAAACTGCCCCGTCCTGAATGGGGACCTTTTGCCGTTCTGACGCTGAAATACATTTAGCCAGAATGCTCACAGCCTTTTTGCTGCTTCAGCTGCCATTTAATTGCAACAGCAGGAGGTGGTGATTTACAGAATGGATGCAAACCTTTTGGTTGGAATATTTTTAAGGAAGGTGAGGAATTTGAGTGTGAGAATTTGCATCTTCCATCTCCCCACCATCAATGGCCCTGCAACAGCTGTGTATGAAGCTGCGTCAAAGAGCAGATCTGTAACTATCGCACAGCTGCTCCCATGTATCTGTCAACAATGACCAACTTCCCATCCACTCAACTCAGTTTCAGTGGGAAACACTGTACATTGAGGGTTAAAACTGCCAGCCATGGCTCAGGAGGAGCACTCACTCTGCTTGGTCAGAATATAGTAGGTTCAAGGAATTTGAATACATAATCCAGGTTGACAAGCCCCTCAAAATGAAAACAGAAAGTGCTGAAGTAATTCAACAAGTTGGCAGCATCTGTGAAAAGAAAAACAGAGTTAGCATTTTGAGTCCAATATGACTCTTCTTCACAAAGGAAAGGAGTTGGAAAATGCTGTTTTGTGTTATTGACAGATTAGGAAGAACATAGAACATAGAACATTACAGCGCAGTACAGGCCCTTCGGCCCTCGATGTTGCACCGACCTGTGAAAGCAATCTGAACCCCATCTAACCTAAACTATTCCATTATCATCCATATGTTTATCCA